CAATTGGTTTACTTTTTTGCAAACAAAAAAAAACGAAGGCCTTTGGACGAAGAGTCCGATTGCAATCTAACAGAATTCGATGAATCATATTAACTGAGTACAGGTGCTTGTGATATCAGTAGTTTGACCTTGTTGAAAGCTTCAGATTTGGCTGAATTCCAAATGAACTCCACGTCATTACGTAATAAGTCTCTCAAAGAGAGGGAAAGCCGGGTTGCATTTATCTACCAAATATCGTAAGGCTGTCATCTACTTTTCACTATTAATGTCGAAAATTTACCTAAGTCAGTAAACAGGAAGTGGATGAAGGACACGGTATGGGACCACGTGTTAACGCTGTATACCAAACGTCGAAAGGCTGTGAAGAGTAGTTGCTTTAAAATGTTAAGTTTTTTCACCCCGCTCGCCCGCCTTACTAAAACCTGGGTTTGCACCTGTGCAACCCGGCCAAAAATGGAACGCCAGGTTAATTATACTTATTATTTGGATGGAGGACCATAAGCATAACACAGATAGTGCACACTGTTTTATTTTTTTTTCTTCATTTGTCTTATTCTGTACGTCCTTATAAATCTAGATATGATCATAAATCAAAGATCACAAACGTCAGGTTGATAATAATTGGCATATGGATAAAGGATTAAATACTTGACAATATGTAAACCTTCTTCATTTTAACTCTACAAACCAAATTGTTTTAATGCCTGTGCAATTTGTTCTTGAGTAATTCACCTTTATATGATTTGTTTAGAATTGCTATAAACATAAAAAGTATGATTGGTTTTGAAGTCTCATTTTTATCAAAACATGTTTTTTTATTATTTCATTATTTTCGAATGAAACACGAGTATATTATAAATTCTGGTACATCATTTTGTATGGAATGCAAAAGCATTAAGATGACACTAAGTTCCGACAGGAAAACACTACTGTTTCGCATAATAAGACAATGTCAAGACAATTCAACAACAGATTTAAAGAATGCTTTGTTAAGACATGTTGAAATCTTAATTTGAAAAGATGGCGTGCATTTTAGACATACTAAGACTTCTATTAGTCATGTTTACACCGGATTAGGACTTGACGTTTTGAACTAATAAGACAGTGTTGAGACAAGTCAACACTCCTTTTTGACAAGATAACATGAATATTTGACCTAATAAGACTTCCCATAAAACGTTGGCAAGCGAACACTACTATTGAACATAATAGTTCGCTTTTAGGGAAGATAGAAAGAAACACATGAGGCAGCTTTGGCGTTCCATAATTTTGCTTTGTCTTGAAGTTTTATTTATAGCTTGAAACTGTTCTGTCAAAGGACATTTTGTGTTCTAAAAAACGTATAGTTAAAAAAAGGATTGCAAACAATACCCGTTTTAACTGCCATTGTATATTTTTCAAATTTCAACGTGTTCTGAAAGCATGATTGAAATATTAAATGATTTTATGCTCATTTATTTATGCTTTTAAAGACGCCGAACGAAATCGTTTTCATTCTATTCATGAGGCGTAATTTTTTCTTTTTTTTAATTTGTTTTTATTGAATTCTGAAATCATTTTGTCTATAAAGAATGCACACACACAGTTAAGAACAAATGTGCAATAACTTGGCTAAACAATCAACAATCGACTTTCAATGTCTAGCTAGACAATCAACATTCAGCTCAACATTCGATCAATAATGATAATCAAAGTATTCTCAAAGTGAATTTTGAGCTAGCTATTAACAATCAGCTAGACATTCACAAATTGCTTATGTCGAGCTAAACAATCGACATTCAGCTCAACATTCGATTGTAATAATGATCGAAGTTTTCTCAAATTGAATGTTGAGCTAGACATTCGACAATCAGCTAGACATTCAAAAATTGCTTATGTCGAGCTGCACAATCGACATTCAGCTCTACATTTGATCTGTAAAAGTGATCTAAGTTTTCTTAAAGTGAATGTTGAGCTAGACAATCAACAATCAGCTAGATATCATAAAAGTTCTGATGTCGAGCTAGACATTTGACATTTAGCTCAACATTCGATCTGTAACAATAATCAAAGTATTCCTACATTGTTTGATGAGCTAGACAATCAACAATAAGCTAGACATTCAGAAATTGCTTATGTCGAGCTACACAATCGACTTATACATGTTATAGCTCAACATTCGATCTACAATAATGATCAAAGTTTTTACATAGTGAATGTTGGGCTAACAATCAATAGTCGGATAGACATTCAAAATATTCTTATGTCGAGGTAGACAATCGACTTTCAGCCCAACATTCGATCTATAATAATGATCATAATTTTCTTAAAGTGAATTTTGAGCTAGACAATCAACAATCAGCTAAACATTCCAAAATCTGTCAGTCGAGCTAGACAATCAATTCAGCTCAACATTCGATCTGTAATAATGATCAAAGTTTTCTTGAAGTGAATATTCAGCTAGACAATCAACAATCAGCTAGACATCGAAAATTGCTTATATCAATCGACATTCAACTCAACACTTTGAGAAAACAATTTTTGCATGTCTAGCTGATTGTTGATTGTCTAGCTCAACATTCACTTTGAGAAAACTTCGATCATTATAACAGATCGGATGTTGAGCTGAATGTCGATTGTCTAGCTCGACATAATCAGTTTTCGTATAGCTAGCTGATTGCCGATTGTATAGCTCATCATTCACTTTAAGAAAACTTCGATCATTATTATAGTTCGAATGTTGATCTGAATGTCGATTGTCTAGCTCGAAATAAGCCATTTTTGAATGCCTAGCTTATTGTTGATTGTCTAGCTCAACATTCACTTTAAGAATACTTTGATTATCATTACAGATTGAATGTTGAGCTAAATGTCGATTGTTTAGCTCGACATAAGAAATTTTCGAATGTCTAGCTGATTGTTGATTGTCTAGCTCAACATTCACTTTAAGAAAACTTCGATCATTACTGTAGATCGAATGTTGAGCTGAATGTCGATTGTCTAGCTCGTCATAAGCAATGTTTTGAATGTCTCTGTGATTGCTGATTGTCTAGCTCAATAATCACTATGAGAAAACTTAAATCATTATAATTATAGATCGAATGTTGAGCTGAATGTCGAGTATCTAGCTCGACATAAGATCTTTCCGAATGTCAAGCTGATTGATGATTGTCTAGCTCAAAATTCACTTTAAGGAAAATCCGATCATTATTATAGATCAAATGTTGAGCTCAATGTCGATTGTCTAGCTCGACATAAGAAATTTTGTATGTCTCTCTGATTGCTAATTGTCCTGCTCAACATTCACTTTGAGAAAACTTTGATCATTATTACAGATCAATATTGTTGAGCTGAATGTAGATTGTCTAGCTCGTCATAGGCAATTTTTGAATGTCTAGCTGATTGTTGATTGTCTAGCTCAACATTCACTTTTGGAATACTTTGATTAATATTATAGATCGGATGTTGAGCTGAATGTTGATTGTCTAGCTAGACATTTAATGTCGATGTTTGATTGTTTAGCCAAGTTATTGCACATTAAGAACAAAAGGAGGCTACAGTGTCGTCACATTCACTTCTATATTGACAAAGGAACAGGGTCTACTTTTCAATCAACGCCCATTTTCTTGATTCCGTTAACAGTAATCACTAAATTGGTCTTGCAGAGAGAACTCATCAAGGTTTATGCATTTGTAAAGTTTGGAGAGTGTAGGTGAAAAGTGTTATGGTCAAGGTTAAAGTTTTTATAACAATTAAACAGAGAGACCAGTAGCTTGATTGTTTGATAAATATAACTAAAATGAATGTTTGATAAATATAACTAAAATGAATCAGTATCTTGATTGTTCTTAAAAAACGAGTTAACTAAACTTCAGTGTTCTTTAAATATAAGTATTATGGTTAAGTACCTAAATTGTTCACACAATTTAATTTTTAAGTTAAATTGCATGTGGCCAATGCGGTAAATATGATGGTTTTATATTGATATTGTAGAAATTTTTGCCATGCAAAGAGATAATTTGTATATGTCATTTTGGTTAGTGTATTATATTTACTTACACAGCTATTTCCTTTTGCGTTACACACCTGACATGTGATACCTATGTAAAAATTTCAAGCGAATGGCGTATACATGAAACGATTGCTGAACAAATAAAACCCTACTAAAAATTAAAAAAAAAATATTTTGTCCCGGAACATATTATTCTGTTTACAAACTTTATTTTTGTGTAATTGATATAATAATAATCGATCATAAGACTATTGAAATAAATTTGTTTTTACTGTTAATATTGTTGTTGCCTTTTAAATATATTTCATAAAACTTTAAACGTTATGAATCAATTCAAATTCCAAGCAGATTTAGAAAGAAAGCGAACACATTTTCAAAAAGACTTTGACGAGCGCCTGGACAAGTATGTGAAATGAGGTAACATTTATTAAAAAGCGTACATGCTATTTTATTACTCTTTCTAGATATAATAAAGAGGTTTCTTACAGTGTTCTGCAGACAAATTGTTCGTTACTGCTTAATGTCATTGCGCATGACCGCCGGAATATAACTGGCAGACCCCCTTGTGACTGAGGAATTGTCTTAAAGGACTAAGGCATTAGAATAGTTTGTAATACCGAAGTTTAGCCAAAAAAACAGTTTTTCCTGTTTCGGTGTCATATGACCATAATTGTGTTGTATTGTGCGCCGTTAAACAAAACAAGCCAAACTTACTGACAGAAAAAAAATGTCGTAGTTACGCCAGTTTTTAATGCATATCTGAGAGGAATTTTCGGTTTAACTTAATGAGAAATGTTGATTTATTCTTAAAAAATCAACAACAAATATGATTCTACTATTATTATAACACACATTAATGATTGGTCACAGTACAAAAGCTTGGGGTAAATAATTCCACTAATCAGAAGCACATCATTGTCGACGAGTAATATATGGCGTTTCAAAATTTGATTTTTCAAATTAATAATGATAAAGAAAAGAACACTATAAGGAAGACAGTTTATTCTGATTAAAAGCACAGCATGTTCAAAGCATACAATTAAATCAAATTAAAAGTGCAGATTTTAAACACAAAACATTGTTTGCTATTGCAATGCCTTTGAAACATTCATTAAATTGTTAGTTAAAGGAACTCCGCTATATTTGTTTACAAAACGGGACTGGAAATATTTCCTGAGATCTGTGTACCATTAGATGTATCTTATGTTCACCATTTCAGATCATTCATTCACTACGTTATTTAAATTGTGCAAAATGACCTAAAACTGAAAAGTGTTTAAACAGCTTTATCTCTTATCACCCAAAAAGTATGTTTTAAATTCAATTCTGTGTATATTTCTTTAACATCTTTTGCTTGTTTCGTTTTAATCTAGCTAAGCTTTTCAAATTTATTTAGGATTTTCATCCTCACTGGAGTTCCTTTACGTATAAATGCTATACATAGGCATAAATAATCAATGCTTGCGAATGACACAACTAAATCTGCTTATATGTATCTAACAATATTTAAAACTTTCCTCACTTTGTTTTGAAAATAATTTTGCAAATAATATTACATTATCTTAAAATGTTTTAAATACAATGACAATAACTTTGATATTTCTATTCATACAATTACTATTTGTTTAATACAAACATGAAGTTGACTAAATATATGGATATAACAACATTAAATGTTAAAAGTATACCGAATTACTGCATGAGTGGCTCATTATGGCATTTTTTTCTTTTAAATTAACATTCAAATAGAGCAAATTTATACTTACATGCCTCGGTGTATACATGTATTCAATATTATAAATAATAAAGAAAAGGGAGTAGTGTAATCAATGTGCGAGTTTGCAGAGATAAATGCTCATCACTGACATGTTGTGTATCAACAAAATTATAAACATTCCTTTTTTTGAAACAAATAATACAGTTTAAACTACATTGTTTTCAAACAAACTTTTCGCTTTCTAAAAAAAGAAAAAAATCTAAAAAAAAATCTGAGCAATAATGTAACTTTAAAATATATTAGAGCATGTTAGAAGCTGATCACGAGAAATGAAACGTTGAATTTATGGTCATATAAGTAGAAAAAATGTAAACAAAATGGTATTTTTATTTTGAATTCTATACAAAGTACTACATCACTCTAATAATTAACTGCCAATGAACAAAGGATGATTCAAATTAATGACAAACAAGAAACTAATAACAAAATTAAAAAGCATTAGAAAAATGAAAACAAAAGCATAACTGGGGATTAATTGTCATGTAACCAACACACTCTTTTAAAATTCAAGTACTCATAAAATGATAGCAAATCAAAGACATCGTTAAAGGCAAAGTAGAAGATTACGAAGATAACAAGTTTTAGGATATATATATACATATTTCAAGTTAAATGTATCAAAGCACTATGATTACTATTTACAGGAAAATCATATGAAATAAAATCAGTTAAAATGTAACTGCGATACTATTGATCATAATAACAGGTCATTGATTTATTTGGTGGGAACGACATCAAAACAATTTTGCGTTGCAAAACAGTCCGATTTAAGGATTTAAATATTTGATGATATTTTAGACTTATTAGATTACTAAGAGATATGAATAACTTGTTTTCAAATAGCAGTTTGTAAATATGTAAAGGTTCTTCTCTTTTGTGGGAACAAGTACGCGATATGTAAATTGTGATATTGACGTAGATTTTATCGTGACATTATGCCCATCCAAGGTTATAAATGAGTGAACATATGAATGTCAAAATAAATTTTCATTTTGCCATTTTTCCTTTCAATATAAAAATTTATTTCACATAAACAATAACCAACGCACGGATCCAAACGAATTTATGGTAAATATCCATTAGAATTTACCTGTAACATTCAGTTCATAAAAAGAGTGGGCAGCCTTTTTATAGTTAAGGCAGATTTAAATTCTATTCTAAACAGTTTTCAATATGAACTGTTGGTCAATCACCATTTAAACAGTCAATCTTTTGAAATACATAGTCAGTTCAAGTGAACTTGACTATGAAAATATGAGCATAATGTCACTTTAAATAGCTTTTTATCATGTAAATATATTGATTTCTGTTGATAATCTGCATACCAAAAATAAATATAAGCTCTATCAGTCACCAAAGCTTTATCAGAAACTTTACTATTAAACATCAAAATGAAAAGAAGAGAACGGAATATTTTAAGCCTTCTACTTGTTTAAAAATTGTAACACTTGAGGATAGCCAATTATTTTTCTTTTTCGGCGCCATATGACCAAAATTGTGTTATCAAACAAACCCAATGAATTGTTTTACATACTATGATTCTGATTTAAAACTTTTCACATGTTAAAATAAGCACATTTTTATGTTCATACTCTGCCATACAATGCCGTCAAATTAGCTTTGCTGCATTTACACTAAGGTACATGTATTTCTTAATGAAAACTGATTGCTATAAATATAGTAAATCATTGGCAGATTTAGAAGTGTTATATAAATTATCGAAAATACTGAATCATTTAACTTTTTTTCTGGCATGTTGTATATTCAACTAGTTTTCGAAAAAGCACAAATCAATATATTTCACATAATTGAACATAGGCTTTCTCTCTTGGCAGATTTAAATAGTTCCACACTATTTAATTGCAGCTCTGCTAGTTCTCTCTCTAAATATTGATTTCTTCTCCTTTGCTCTTCGAGAAAAAAATATTCAAGTTGGCCACCCATCCGTCTGTTTATTTCGTTGTGCATTTGATCTAAGGAATAGTAAATAATAAAATAATTTTGAAAAAAAAAGAAGTTAAAAAGATTAAGGTACACATTATATAAACATGATTATTTCTTTACATTATCTACCTTACAGTGTTATTTTGCAAATCATAGTAGTTGTAGTATATCTGTTTAAACATCTCTTGATATGAAGGATAAATTATGCTAATAAGTGTTTTAATAAAATTCAACTGTTATTAGTTCCGCATATTGTTCGGGCACACACACAAATTGTTGAACTGATGACTATATGCCGCTTTTCATGAAATTGCATTGACGTGTCTCGTTGAAAATTCCATGATTACCGCCGTATGAACACATTTTGATGTTTCTTAATTAAAAATTCCACCATTATCATGTTTAAATGGTGGGTGAATTCTACCTTAGCCGGTATCTTGCACTTTCCAGTACAGTCCATGAACTGGCACAATAATATCGAGTAGCATTTTTCAATTTCGATGTTTCTAACGTTTGGGATTCTTTTTCACTATTAACATGTTGAAAGGCAAAATCAAATACATGTACTTTCAAAATATATTTGGAATTTTACCTAGACTTTAATTTTTAAAGGGATCAACTGTTTAAAAGACTAGAATGAAATGATGAAAAGAAACATACTTCCTACCAAATGCTTTGTTTTTACCTTTTAGGATAAATAATAAACGCTACTCAGCATTTGACGCTAGTTGTTACAGAGCATGAAGAATATAACTTAACTGCATGGTGTAAAAGCAAAATTAGATTACTTTGGTTGGATCCTAACTGTAACGGGGTCAATACAAATGGCTAGAAGAACACCCGTTACCAGGTTCTGTGTGCCATTGAATAATGCTTGCCTTATTATGATTTACGCTTTGAATGAGTATATTTAATTATGATAGATTCTATATACAAAATATAGTACCGTATTGTTCTTTGTACTTGTGTTCAGTTGCAATGCAGTACGTAACCATCTTAACATCAGATTTGCTTTTCGTAAACGCGTCAAAGCATTGAAATAGCTGAAGCAAACAAAAATTCATTTGCATAAATAATTCTTAAGGTATCAAAGGCGTTAACAATAACATATCAATACAGCAAATGTATCAGAAAACAAACAACTGTTTCTAGATGATGTACAAAAAACATGTATTCATTTCTGTGGGGTTGGTAGACAGTAAGATTAAAAGAGGTTGGTAACTAGACTAAGAAAAATAACAATCCCCTTCCCCGCTGCTTAATTGACCAGACGCCAGCTGTCAATCAAATTATTATATCGATAAGCCGTCAGCCAATCAGCGCACACCTCCAAACGGTGTCATCTTAGACATATCCCTTAGAGGCCATAATGTCGCATTGTAACATGGCCAGCGAATGGCTGAAAAAAGTACAGGGAAAACCGTATGATTTCATTGGACATGAGGTAATTGGATGAAAGTGGGGTATTTTTAAGTATGAAAACTAATTTAGAACATTGTTTTCTGAAGAAAATGAAATATTTCATGAGTCTCTATGAAAATTTTTGACATATCAGTCAGAGATCAGCAGATAATTTCAATAAAATAGGGGGGGGGGGGTGATTCTCTTTGAAGTCATTTTGCAAAAACAATGGTTAGCTACCCCTATATAACAGGAACATTTTTATGTGTCAATCATTTCATTCTGCTAGAAAATCACCTTTTTAGCATGAAAACTCAATTTTAAGATAGGATTAGGGACCATTTCTTATAATGTAAGTCTATGAGAAAATCAATGAGATTGTCTGACCTAGACATTGAGGTTCAATATCTGACTGTACCAAACTGTTTCTTACTAAAGCATTTATCTGAGTGAGCATGATAATTTACAAATAAAATAAGAAAAAAGGTTTGAGATATTTGCAATTCAGATTCTCGTTTTTCTACTGATAATTATTTTTTATAAAAGAATTTTATTCTATTTCCCAGGCTAATAGAAAGAAGCTTAGAAAAGTGTTTACCCATTGTGAGCGCATTAAAATATCAGAACATTTTGTAATATCAACTATTTCTGTTGAATCGAAAATAATTGTATAATGCGTTTTCCGATGTTATTTATTTAAATGATTACAAGTGCGTCTCAAAAATCTATAAAAACGTTTGCAAAAATCAGAAAACAAAGTTGAGAAATTAAGATTTTATTATAACAGTCGGTTACTTAAAGTACCATAATTAACAAATAATCAATAGATGAATAAATAAAAGATCAACGAGGATCATTGCCAAACCTACGACGTCTTCCAAGGCGCAACACAAATAAAAGTGATAATTACTTTATGATTTTCTAATAAAAATATGCCAGTTATAAGTTAGATCTGATATATAAATTCATACATACAAAGAACATGTATTCTAGCACTTTCTTAATGCACAACCTGATAATGCTTTTTTCGCGGCAAGGAAATGACATAAAGAATTCATCACAAATGTTGAATATCTCGAAAAAAGTACTTTCATGCTCTTTGTAAACCATTCTTTGTATACCAGTTCTATATCATTGCCCAGTATTACACACAAATTTAAGGATCTTTCTATAGGGTTATGCTTTCAACAAAGTAGCATGATATTATGGAACGGAAAATCACTGTATTTCATACCCTTCGTGATTGTGTAATATTTTGATAGTTAATCCTTTTCACAAGTATAATGCAACTGAATTAAAAGAATTGTTATGTAGCAACGAACGAATTTCTTCAACAAAGAACTTATGGCAAAAATACGGAACCGTCCTGGTGCCAATTTAATATGTTCTATAAAAATTAAAACTCGTAGGAGAAAAAAACTAATTAGGAGTTTATAACTCCTACGTAGGCCTTTATAAGTCCTATTTAGGACTTTATAAGGTCTACGTAGGAGAACACTACGTAGGAGAAATAAACCTAATTAGGAGTTCTACGTAGGACTTTGTGAGGGATGTTGAACGTATTCATTATCCTTCATGTACAGACTCAGCCAACCCGAGTCTGCAGGTCACTTGTAATTTGTTGTCTTTAATGCTTCCCAGGGATTTCTTTATTTCTTGCCATAGCAGGTGTCAAGTGATGTGTTGCAGCTGTAAAAAGTTGCCCCGTACTTCACTTCAGTGTTATTATATTTTTCTGGACCTTCGGAATCATTGATGCCAGCACTATTAAGTGTTGAGAATTGAGAACCGCTCAAGCCGGTGCTAAGGGGCATGAGGGATGTTGCACGTATTCATTATCCCTCATTTACAGTACTCAATCAAACGGAGTCTGCGGTTCTCTCGAATTTTGTTGTGATTAGTGCTTCCGAGGAATTACTTTGTTTCCAGATTTTTGTAACTCCTACAAATACGAAAGCCTTATAAGGACTTTGTAACACTTACGTAGGGCTTTATAAGTGTTCTCCTACGTAGGAGATATAAAGTCCTACGTAGGACTAATAAAGTCCTACGTAGGACTTATAAACTCATGATTAGGCTTTTTTAAATCTCCTACGTAGGAGTTACAAAGTCTTTCGTAGGACTTATAAAGTCCGACATAGGAGTTATAAAGTCCTATGTAGGATTTATAAAATATGATAAACAAAATCAACAAGGAAAGGCGGCATTCAATGAACGCAACCCCCATACGAGGTCAGCAACAAGAACCAGTGGCAAGGAGCCCAGGCGGACCCCAAACAAAAACAGGACAGGGCACAAAATAGAGCACGGACAGGTTAATCACTAAATGATAAATAATTTATAACTGATAAGGAACTCAAAGAAAACAAATACATGATTGAATAATAGGCCCACAAAGTCAAAGGGAACAGGGGAAGGAGACAGAAGACCGGGGGAAGGTGGGGGGTAATCAAAGAAATAAAAACTAGGGGGGAAAGGGGGAGATACTTACCGTAGACGAGAAAACAACAAGGGACACAAGTAAAAGTCACAGAGGGGCGCCACCTTGGAACGGTCAGCAGCATAATAATGACTGCTGGGGAGTTTAAACCAGTTAATGGTGCACCAAACCTCGCTGTTAGCCCCACCATGTTCCTACAAACGAGACAGTGTAAATAAAATGAATCCCCGCCAAGTGAAATTCTTACAGTTGTTATGGCAACAAAAGGTTAAATAAATAAAACACCAAAATGATCATATAGAAACATATAAAAGTAAACCCAATGACCATAACAAACGTACTCAATGTCCTAAAGGGAGTTATAAAGTCCTCCGTAGGACTTATAAATTCCTTATTATATCATTTTTATAGAACATGCTAAAATAGCACCAGCACGCTTCCGTACATAAATCATTATTAAATTTAAAGCGATTAACGTATCTTTCACATGACAGCGATCAACGTAGTTTTTTCTCAAACTCTATATAAAATACTCAAAGATATTTTCTACTGTTTTAGGAAAATTAAATCCTTTCATAGAATTTTCTAAATTTTTTGTATGACAAGTTAAATTTAATGGCGAATTCAAAAGAAAAATATATGTTGACATGTTGGATTTTTTGTAAAATGGCAGTATTCATGGTAACCGTTTATCCCAAAACTGTCACAATAGCCAAACTGTGTTATACAAAGTAGAACATGTATTAGATAGCTCAATACAAACAACAAGCATAATTTTATACAAAACTAACTTTATATGATGATTCTGTTTGAAACAAATGATAACATGAACAAATTTCTTTAAATAATGATATTTTCATGCTTCTTAACTTAACAAAAATGAGAAACTATACATAAATTCTGTAAATAATTAAAGATAATTTTCTTTCATAGAATTTTCTACATTTTTGATTTATCAAGTAAACTTTTATGGTGAATTTAAAAAAATAAAAGTTGACGTGATATATCCTTCTGTTAACGGGTGGTGTTTCCATGGTTACCGTATATGCCAACTGTCAAAATGACCACGCTTTCTTAAGAAATATCAGTGTTATTCCAAATGCATTGTTATATATACAGTACATCAAAAACATGTTGAAATATAAATTTCTATTTCATTTGATTGGAAAATTAAACGAGACTTACCTGTAAGTTGAAGTTGGATTTCAATTCTCCGAGGCACAAGCTCATGTTAGAGACCAGTAGGTCAAACTTTAACTTGTTCAGTGAAAACTCAAAATATTATTACCACATACAAAAGTATATATATCAGGGTGGGCAGAAATGAGTTATCTCGGGAGGGCACATGAGCCCATCACAGTGACCTTTTGCCCCGGAGAATTGAAATCCAACTTCAACTCACAGGTAAAAAAAAAGAATAAAGATCAACAAGGCGAAGGCAACGTTCACAGGACGCAGCCCGCCTCCCCCCCGACACACCAAAGTAGGGCACCAAGAAGGCACTAAGGTCTTGTTTAATTTTCCAATTCTCTATCAGCACAAGGTCACGTGATCTGGTCCCTGAGAGCTTTAAAGGTGTTCACGAACAACCCAGAAATACAAACAATAATGATTGTTTATCATTTACTAAACTTCATATACATGTATATATAATCTACTTATACTAATCATTTGAGCATCTGACAATGATTTAGTAATATTTGTTGTAATAATTTGTTTTATTTAACAATAAATTGTATTTAAATCTAAAGCAACGCACTTTGCAGAATGCTTTTGGCAAAGTCATTACCTGTCTGAACAGATGTTTTATAAAATTTCTTAAAAGTGTTACATGAAGACCAGCCAGCAGCTGGCATAATGTCTTTTAGCACTCCAGCGCTATCAGCTGCACTTACGGCAGTTGCCCTAGTGCTATGTCCTTTAAATTTGCTAATATCTATTTCAGATGTTGCCAAACTATTTTAATCCATTTAGATAAAGTATTGATTGACAATTGTTTGTGCAGTTTTTGTATACTAATGAATAATGAAGTACAATTTTCTCTAGGTCCTACTGTTCTATCTAGATATGCATTCAATATAGAAATTATACACAAATCGGGATCATGAATATAAATGGCTGTACATGAAAACCACGTCTACTCTGCTTACACGCTGTTGTATATAAAATGCCACTTTATCAGGTAACAATGTCAAATGATTTATATTTAAGAAATGTAAAGATTGTGCCCGTTGGCCAGACAATAGTGCCATGAGCATAACTAACTTGTATATTAACCATTTTAATCCTATCTCTTCACATATTTGTATCGATTTTATATATTTAAGAACAACTGAATCATCCCATACTTGAGTGTATCTTGGTAGAGCTGGTCTGTAATTAAAAGCACCTTTCATTAATCTCTTAACAAGGTGCTCGTTTACAGAAATTATTTTGTCTTCACCTAATAATACCACAAAAGAGGACAAGGCTCTTCTGGCAGTGTTTAACGCACTACAACTTGAACCTTCATGAAAAAGTTTTGTCAGGAATTCTACTACATGATTGACACTGGCTAAGTGTTCATTTAATTCATCTACACAACTCATGCCAATTTTTAAAATACATATTGTACTGTCTTCTTCTCGGTAGCTCGCTACGAATTCATAATAATGGAAATTGCTGATTTTGAAAATCATGATTGCTGATACATGTCCCTGACAGCTGTCAAACGATCAATCGAAGTTTTGGATACAGAGGGTGAATTTGATATGGGGTATATGGTACTGTCAACAGATCTTTCCTCCGTGGAAGGCGATATGAGCGTGAAACGCACATTTTCAGTACATTGGGGTACCAGGGTTGAGTCGTCCTATATGGCAGATCAAAAATCCCCTGAGCTTTGTCTATCTGAAGTTTTTTGTAAAACTCTGTCGATGACACTGAAAGGCGGAAAGCATTTTAAAATGTACATATTCAACAGACTGATTTAATTGCGTTAAGTTTAGAATCAATTCTATAAGAACCATCCTTTTTGGGGCACAGAAATACAGGAGAAATATATCCCCCTGGTTCATGCACAGCTTTCACAATCACACTAGTTAAGAGAAACTTTTGGATTTCAATATCAAGAATTTTGGCTTCTGTTTCATTTAAAACTGTAGGCCGATAAGAGCTTTGAAAAGGTTTCTCGAAAAATTGAATGATGCTATCTTATACTATTTCTAAAATTTGTTTATCTGATGTAATAGTTTTCCACTTTTCTAGAAATTCTGGTAGTCGACCAGCCTTGAAAGTGATACAGTGCCCACTTACCTCACTTTCTAATAATGGCTTTTTTTGATGAATGGCTCGGCCCATTGTTGTGTGCTTGAGTTGCAGAAGTTAGTTGCTGGCTTGCCTGCCCCCACCTGCTTTGAACATTCGGAACCGTAGGGGAAGGTCTGTTGTGAAAAAAAGGCCTACTGTACATCTACTGGTTGATGCCAGATTGTCCACTAATAGAGTTACAACTGACTTTATATTCATCTGCTCTGCGTTTTGTTGGGATTTTACTAAATGATCGATAACCCTCAACAGGGTAACAGAATGATGCTCTCAAAAATTTGATTGTATTTTTTTGGAGTTTTATGTCTTTTGATCTTGTTTCTGCTGATAACACCCTCCATATTTCAGGATCGACTTTTGGGGTGTAAAGAGATGTTGTATTCTATGGTATCTGGTGTTTCTCAACTAACCCGGCTTTTTTGCTCTCGTCTAGGCTTGTTGCCATTAGCTTTTGGACAAAGGTCGACATTACACCAGACACTGATAACCTTTCACCTCTGATATTGAAAGCGAGGCTGCACACTGTCCCAAAATGGAGCACTCTTTGTTTTATTCACCCTTTTAACCTTAACTTCGGTCACTTTCTGACCGGTCAGCAGAGTAGCTTCTGGGGAAATTCCACCATGCTCTTCATTTTCACTGGCATTTTCAGCCATATTCCCAGAATTCTGGCACATTGTCTGTTTCATTGATGCAAATTCAGAAACCAAATTTTTCAGCATTTCAGCCTGTTGCCTTTGAAAACTCAAGATTGTTGATAATTCTATGTTTGTAGTGTCAGAAATATTCACTGTACATGTAGGGCTTGATGGCCTACCGCTAGTGCCAGACTTTCTTGTATCATCGCCACTAGATGTGGTAGTGGACTTTGAAATAGCAGACTTATCGCTTCCAGTTATAGTCTGGGAGGACTTACTACCCCACTCCATTTTTTCAAAACTGAGTTCCAATCCCAGTCTTTGCAGGATACTTTCCTGCGCCATGCTAATTCTGTCACTATCTTAGTCTTAAAATCTTAATTTTTTCTCTTCACAATTCTTTCTTAATATCACTTTTTTACAATTTGCAAAGTTTTCATTAAATTTTGTAGTGAAACACAACGTCTTAAATCCAACTATATCGAATAACAAGTACCATAAAATCACTTTTCATATTTCACGTCTGTACTCTACTGGAACTAACTTGCATTTGACCTACTGAATACTACAAGCATCTCTCATAGGGGCCACATCACGTGATCTTGTGCTAATAGGAAAATGTTATATAAAGTAAATGATACTGGGAACATGTTTTTTAAACAAGTCATATAAGGCCATATTATTTCTTTCCTTGATTAACATACGAGAACAGTAAGCATGTATTCAGAAAAAAAATGAAAATTAGAATATTTCTTAGACATAATTTTTGTTTTTTATTCAAATTGTTTTAAAGATATAATTTAAAAGTTATTAACCCACTTACAAATGTATCTGCCAGTAATCAAGTGGCGACGCACTTTCGTCACTACCATAAGTGGGTGGGGAAACGCACGGAATCATAATATATATGCACTTGTTTGATTATATAATATTGTTTTGTTAAACTGTTTTACATTACACTCAAGTAATTAAGGCTTCTTAAAATAGTTATATTATTTATGGTTTTCAATGACATGCTACATGCATTTCAAATCTGCTTTGTACCATGAACTGTTGTTGCATTTGTTATACCCGTTTTATGCCTCTCTGCAAAATAAATTGCACGTATGGTATTGCATTTATGTTTTTGTTATTTCTTTAATCAAAAGACGGTGAAGAAAAAACGATACAAGGTCTTACCTATTTCAGCATATACATGGCGAATCTTTTTAGGTTCAAGCAAAGTGTGTTAAAGGAATTAAGGACATTATTTATAAGACGCAAAAAAGTCTTACAACGTCTTGGTCATACAGCTTGTTTGCTTCGAAAAAATCTTTTTTTAGTTTTTCCATGTCAGCTTCGTAGTTACTGTAAGCTGTCGCACCCACCAGGTATCTACTTCCGCTTTTGTTAAACATTTCAACATACATCTCCGACAATTTCTTCGTTCCTATTTCCATGCATGTTTTAGTTATTTCGTTTTTCATCGTATCTAAATAAACTTTCATTTCCGCCTGTAAAATACATTAACTGTACAATTCATGTGACGCAATTAAATTAAGTTTCCGTCCGTCAAACAAAATCATCATTAGCGAAGCATTAATTTAAACAGCAAATTTCAAATGATGAACGATTAAAAAACAGAATCCATGAAACTATGGTCATATTGTTCTATTGTCCATTTCTATAATATATGATAGTGACTGTGAAGAGAGCTTTAATTTTCATCTATTGCATGAAATTCGTCAATGAAGTAAAATACAGTCCTTGATTAATTCAAAAATAGTAACTCATTGATGCCGTATTAAGATATAGCCAAGGCGGAAGTTTAAAAAAAAGCATTTAAAATATAACATTTTTGAAACTGTGTCAGGAGAATTACTGCATTTAATGTAATTTAATATTAGAACGAGCTTGGCAATAAAGCTATAACCAATTCCCAAGATATAAAGGCAGTGTAGCAATAATTTAAATTTTGGATAAATTACTTAGCAATTAGCTGTTTAGTTTGCACTATTTTTAGGTAATTTTATTTATCTCTCCATTTTTATTTATCTTAATTTTATAAATTCATTTAAACCACAAATGTTCCTGATCATTATTCACATCTAAACAAATAAACACCATTTTTTAACCATTTATAAAAATCCTTTCATGGATACGTTTTTTAATACAACGACAACAACAACAACAACAACAACAGCAACAACAACAACAACATTCATTTAGCAATTAAGCATTGCAATGCTTTTAGCCATATTATACAATTGACATAAGGTGAGCTAGTTAAATGGTGCGTTTATAATTTAAGTTGATATGTTCAAAATTTAACGTTGCAACGATTTAAGATAACAGCATGATTAACATTGCTAAGTCTTTACTTTATTTATTCTTTTTTTCCGAACAGCTTGACGGTTTGAACAAAGACAACATTAATATAAAAATGTTCTAGATAATTGCCTGCTCAGTCTTCTTTTTTATTGATCGTTATTAAGTTAAGGTCATTAAATGAAAGTGCATGTTCTAATCATGATCCAGCGGCGTGTAGCTTGATTTTGTTATATCTTAGTAGCAAAGTTGTCTCCCTTTTAATTATATAATCATTTGTATTTAAATTGAATATGGTTTTGGAGCATTCTTTAAGAATTGGCCTGGGAATTTACAAATAACAAACAGATCTGAAGTTAAGTTGGAAACTTGAGCTTCTAAATATACTTCTCAAAATTTGCTAAGGATCACTTTTTTTCTACAGTGCGTTACTTTCGTGTATTTGTAATAAATGTGAAAATTGATTAAAAGGAATTAAATATAATTAGTTAGGCATTGATTTGTATGAAAACAATGACAATGGAAGTGTTCCTTGACGTTTGCCTGTTGCGGAGAGTGTGCTGGACGAAAATCAACATTTTGGACATCATATAGTGGAATAAAAAGTCCTGCAAATCAGAAAATGGTTGGCGTAGGGTGTTTAATACCGAGTATGGTGTCTGCGGGCATTAATTACGGCCTGGCATTGTCGTTGATTTACATTATACTTTCCCGCGCTACTTTGTACGTAACTGGCGCTTTGTGATACGTTGACGTCTGTGACGTCATTATTATTTGTTTATCATTGTTGTTGTTATTGTTTGACGTAGATACTTGTAGTAAACTGAGAAAAGAAGACACAACGCTGTAGTACTTTATCAACTTATATACGATATTGGTGCTGTGACACAAAAAAGATGAATCAACAGAAGTTAATTTTAGTACGTAGCGGCAACAGAAGCGTTATTTCGAAGCTTTTGGGCAAAATCGAAGAAGCGAAGGAGAAATCAGACAAAATAGAATTCAACGCTATTCTGGAGACCCTCGAATCGAAGACAAATACATTAGATGCACTCGAGTAGAAGATTCTATTTCAAACTGGAGTCGAGGATATTGAAGAAGAACTCATTACCACTGAAGAATATAAGCTTGAACTCGAGATTCAGTTACGGAAACTTAGAGCGTATCGTCAAATGAACTCACGGACAGACGTTCGTTCGAGTGAAATTACCGAGAATCATGAGGCAATAAGTCATATAAGAGCAGACGATATGCGGGAGAACTTTACTGATGAAGCAGACGATGGGGAGACCGGAAGTCATGTCAACGTTCAACTTCCGGGAGGAAATATTCACTCTGCTGATTCACAGAACAGCCTAGGTAACAATCACTCTTTTATGTCGGCAAGTTCACAGTATCATAGGTTACCTAAACTTTCATTACCGAAATTTAATGGCGACATTTTAAGCTGGCATACATTTTGGGACTCGTTTGAGTCAACTGTTCATCTCAACTGTAACTTAACGGATGTGCAAAATTTGAAGAGTCAGCTTGAAGGAGAGGCGGATCGGACTATTGATGGCTTTGCACTTACAAATACGCACGTGCGACAGAACTGTTGAAAGAGAGATATGGTCAAAAACATAAAATAATTCACGCAACAATGCAAGCATTGCTTCAACTCCCAGCCCCCAAAAATACTTTACATTATATTCGTGAATTCTATGATAAAATGAAGACATTCATTCGTGCACTGGAGAGTTTGGACCAGCTACAAGAATCTTACGGCGACTTACTCGTGCCTATTGTGCTTGACAAACTTCCGGGAGAAATGAGAAAAAATCTCGCGAGAGGTCACGGTGACAGGAATTGGTTGTTATGTGACTTACGTAGAGCTATTTACAACGAAATTAATATTATGGAAGCCGGATCATACAACTCGATTCAACCGGAAGTAGAAACTTACGGTCTACTGCATCATTATTCACTGGGGCAAGAAGTACCAGAAATTCGAACAGTGCGCATGTGACAAGAACTGGAATTAAGTGTTCCTTTTGCGAGGAATCCCATAGAGCCAAAGATTGCCGGAAATATCCTGATGTAGCGTCAAAGTTAAATGTTATTAAGGAGAAAAAACTGTGTTTTAATTGTTTAGGTAAACACCAAGTATTCACGTGTAAGTTCACTAAGAGATGCCAGAATTGTAACAGAAAGCATCACACAACTATATGTAAGTCTGATAGCGCTCGTAATTCCTGTGCAAAAAGTTCTACACAGCACACATCTGAAGCTACAGTGATGTATTCTTCCGCGCCCAGCAACCATACTTTTTGACGAAGGAGCACAAAGAAGCTTTATCACCGAAACTCTAGCAGACGAGCTTCAATTAGAGAGGGAAAAATCCGAAACAATCCGAATATCTGCATTTGGGGGCAAAAGTAATCAGATGCAACATTTTGACCAAGCTACAGTGTATCTTGTTACAGACAGAAGACCACTGAAAGTTCTGATTGTTCCGACTTTAGCGACACCTATAGATAATACACATAGCTCAGATATTTCAAGTTTACCTTATCCAGTAACGCATGATAAAGAGTTTGCTATTTCCTTGCTAATCGGAGCCGACTTTTACTGGGATATTGTTGAAGACGAGATTATACGTGGCACAGGGCCTACTGCCGTAAAGTCGAAAATCGGATACCTTCTGTCTGGACCGATCAATTCAAGTAAAAGTAGCAGAAGTGTTGAACAGATTTTGAACGTAATGGTGTCTCACATACCAATGGACATATTGATAGAACGTTTCTGGAGTCTAGAAAATCTCGGAATAACATCAGATGACACAGACCGGAAGTTAAAAGACGAAAGACAACAGTATCAGCTCAAGTCAAGTGAATTCAAAGATGGAAAGTATACTGCACGGTTACCATGGAAATCTGACCATCAGGAACTACCTTCAAATTATGGTATTGTCCTGAAACGCACTGAAAGTACAGTCCGAAGATTGAGCAGAGAACCTAATATGCTAAGGAAATATGGAGATATCATTGCAGAACAAGAGAGACGAGGGTTCATTGAAAGAGTTCAAGAGAAAGAGACCCAGACGAAAAAGCCCCTCCATTACATTCCACATCACCCTATTAAAAAAAATTCCTCAACTACGCCTATAAGAATTGTATACGACTGTAGCTGCCGTAAAACACCATACCATGCCAGCATGAATGCCTACAGTCAACACCCCCAGTCTTAAATGAACTCGCCTCAATTTTGCTGAGATTTCGTCTGCATGCGTATGCTGTTACAACAAATATTGAAAAGGCGTTTTTGCAGGTGGGATTACATACAGATGACCGAGATAGGACAAGATTTCTATGGCTGAAAGATCCGAATGACCCGTACAGTGACATTTCAACTTATCGTTTTAAAGTTGTGCTTTTTGGTGCAACTTGTTCACCATTCATACTCAACGCAACGATACTAAAACATTTAGACAACAATCCACATACGACTGTATCAGAAATATTACGTCGAGATTTATACGTCGATAACGTCATATCCAGTTTCAAAGAAGAAGAAGAATGCCTTAATTACTTTAAAGAAGCACGAACCTTGATGTCCAAAGCCGGAATGAATTTGAGATCTTGGAACTCGAAAAGCAAAAAGTTACAACAAAAAGCCGACAGAGTAAACATATTAGATACTGACGACGTCACAAAAGTCCTAGGTCTACGTTGGGAGCCGTCAACAGATGAAGTGACCTATGTGAAGAGAGATATCCCTGTTTCTTCTCATGTAACAAAGAGAGTGATATTGAAATATTCATCTCAGATATACGACCCCCTTGGATTACTATGTCCAGTTACCGTCCGAGCCAAACTTCTGTTACAAGACGTTTGGAAACAAAAGTACGAGTGGGATGTACCACTTCCAGAAGATATTCAACAGTCATGGTCAAGCCTAGCGAAAGACTTGAACAGTGTTGCCACATTTAAATTTCCGAGAAGATATTTCTCTGAAACAGCCGAAACCGGAAGTGACAGTCGGACAACCTTGCACATCTTCGTGGATGCAAGTATTAGATCGTACGGTGCAACGGCGTTCATCTGAAACGGGAAAGATTCAACTCTGGTGATGGCTAAGAATCGCGTGGCACCGCTCAAACCCTTAACTCTGCCCAAACTTGAACTCATGGCGGCGCTGATTGGAGCTAGACTAGCGAAATATTTGCAGACTACATTTCCTACAGCAGACATCACACTGTGGTCCGATAGTCAAATTGTAATTTAATGGCTATCTACGAAAAAGACACTGCAGAGATTCGAGAATCGTGTAAAAGAGATATATGACCTTACGAGCCAATACGCATGGAAATATTGTCCAACAAGCGAAAATCCAGTCTTTTTACTGACAAGAGGTATAACAGCTGAAAAATTTATGAAGAACGAACTTTGGATGAAGGGACCGATATGGTTATGTGACAAGACAAAATGGCCGATATGGGAGGTCTCAAACAGGTTACACGTGCAGACGATAATTGAAGAGCAAGCCACCGGAAGTCAGCAAGCCGAGATAGACGAGCAAATGATATCATCCCACCATATGGGGTTCCGCGTAATTGAGTCTGGGCCTCACATGGGCCAGCCGGAATTGGCGAGATATTAGCTGAAATAATGATCTATAATACGAATGTCGGCTCAACATCGGCAAAATACCAGAGCATTCCCGACGGATACACATATACACGCGGACACCCGGACACACAATGCACGACTCACATCTTCTTTAATCTGTCGTCGGATTTTTTCATCTCCTGTAGCTTTGATTTCAGTTATTCTGCTTAGCCAAAAAAGCCGTAGATCGTTGTGAAAAGTAATTGACACTACATTATGGAATTAACCACAGGTTGTACCATATCATCTCTGGCCAGCCAGTTCAGCCGGAATCGAATTCCGGCTAGCTGGAATAGCTGGAACAGCCGGAGAAGACGAAAATGAGTTCCGGCTGCTGTGGCTGTTCCGGCTGCCTTGCTATTTTCACGAACAATGATTGAACTAAGTTCCAATTTTGGTGAATTTTATTCTATTTATTTCTCAATAATTCATTCATGTAATTCAGAGCTATTTAAATAAATTCCTTTTTAGCCAAGTAGCACGATTCATCAAACTATTTCGACTTTTGTGTGTCCGAATTTGTATATCCGAAATAGGGACAACCTTTCCAAATATTTTCATAGCATTTGAATACAAAAAGTTTGTAAGTGTCTCGGTTTGTGTTTCAACAGTATACTTTTTCCCAACGCAGGAATCTAGATCAGTTTTATTTGCAAGTAGTTGTGAGGTGTGCTAAAAAATCTTTAACTTTGTAATTATCCCAAATTATTATGTTTTCTGTACCATTTTCTTTAACAAGCTATATGTCTGATCATTAAGCAGACGACATACAAAACAGTAATTAACACTTTGTGAGTCCAAACGCTTAACAACTGATGATCCAAACAACAATGAAAATTGCCTAAAAAAGGAACTCATAATGAATTATAGTACAATTCTAAGATACAGTATAATCTACAAACATTCAACCAGCATCACAAAACAACTTAAACCAAAACAACCAATATTTACAAATCTCTTCATAACAAAGAAAATCTTGACAAGACAAAATCACTCAAAGCAAACAAATATAACTAAAAAATCGAACTTTATTAAAAAATCAAAACAACTATGTATAAAGACTAAACCCAGATAAATCAAGATCACCGCAATTAAATTCAACCAAATTCAACAAATCAACAAACTGCGAACAACATGTTTAAAAAATAACTGTACATTTGAAAATGATATACACTCTAAAATTCAAACACTGTATCATATTAACTCGTTATGAATTACAACAAATGAAGAGAAATGAACTCTGACAAAGTGATCCTTTAACTAATTTGAACATTAAAAGTCAAAAGTTTGAAATAATAGGTTAAACAAAAATCAATATCTTTACCTCTAGCTTTTCTTCATATTCGTTTTGACGGTACGTAAATGAGCTGTCACGGTATGCTACTTTCGTGGACTCAAAAATTTTGAGAAACTTGGTCTGAAGTTCCTCTTTGTTGCTTATATTTTTTAATTTGTCCATGTCGTTCTTGAACTTTGTAAGAACCTTCTGCAAAACCCGCTCATTACGCTGAAAAGACGCTTGTTCATATGCATCTTTACACTTCAAAGGACTACCTTTCCTCAGTGAGTTTACATAAGACGTGATGAGAGATGTGAAATCTAAATATAACAATTAATTGATATTTTTCATGACGATTAAAATTTTTAAAATAACTAATACTGTATGAAAGTAGATTATATTATTTTTCTTCGAAGACATAAAAATAAGATTTTAAGTCAATATTCTTGAACACCAATAATCGGATAGAGATATATTAAATTCATAATTCTTCGATACAACCCAAGATTTCAACTTTACAAATTTACGATTTCAATTTCATTAAAACATGAACATGATTGTATCATTTCAACTATCATTTTACGATTTTAGCATAAGAATTCAAAAAATCAACTTCACTAATTATCACTTGTGAATTCATGAATTCAAACAATAAGTTCATGACGTTTACTTCGAGATCTCATGAAGTTTAAGTTGTAAATTGATGGCATTGAAATTTTGATAATGTACGAGTGTATTTCACAAGAAGTTTGTCTTTAAAGAAGTCTGAAAATTGCTTTTTATGTAAACAACTGCTCGTTCAGCTGTTAACATCATTGATTGAGCTGAAGCATCATATAACCATATCAAAATTAAACATTGATCAATGGCAATCAAAATTTGAATAAACAGAACACTTTCATTCAGTGGGGTCAACATCACTGGTCAAACGTCTTGAATCGTTTAACGTTTAACGTTTTATTTAACTTGTTAATACTTTGCCGGCTAGATGAACACATAGTGTGTATCACAAAAAACAATCTCCTGATGTTAAAGTCCGACACGACATTAATACACCAGTAACTGTTAAAAATACAAGTTCAAACATTTTTTAGTTCTATCTTTAATAATGCTAACTCTCGAGAGCAAGTTTACTCCTGATGTTAAAAAGTAAAGAAAATCAGAATAAACTGCGCGTATATGGCAGTTATATCCTTTTGACACTTCATTGAAATATTAAATTAAATATATAAATTCATCATGTTAAGTTTTAATTTCTGAATAAAATGTCAGATAAACACACTGAACCAGTACTTACCTGCTCCTTCTAATGGTTTCTTGCTAGCGTTGCAAATGTACTTTGGTTTTCTGTCATAAACGTAACTTTGCAATGCTTTGGTGTGTTGGACAAAACTCTCATTTAAGGATGTTTCATTCAAGTTTTCGATGTTCTGCAGACTTTCTGCCATAGCTGGCTGTGCAACAAGAAAACATGTTCTTTTTGGAAAATAGTCCTTGATACACTGTTTAATGTTGTTGAATCTTAGCTGTCTTACCTTTTTTGTCTTTTGTAAGGTAGACACATCTACTAATTTAAGGCTATTTTCAAGGTATTCAGTTGCTGTCTGATGTTTTCCATCTTTTGTATTTTTCAAGAAAAAATCTCTGATGCAAACAACAAGAGTGGGAGTAGCAACTTGCATTGCTTTGGCATTCTGTTTGTTTTCGGCTTCATCATTTAGTACTTGTATGTTCTCGGTTAGTGTGGCTATGAAACTTTTATCATTAAGGAGTTGGTAATTACTGGACAATGCAAACAATACCTCAATATAATTTCGAGTATTCGTAAAGGATTCCAAACAAATGGAATCTGAGCTTACATCCAAATCGTGATATGTGTAATTTAAATGATTTCTGATCATTATAGACATTTGTCGGTAAACACTTCGCTCACAATTTCATAGTCCTAAGTACTGTGCACTTTGTATCACTGGCTTACCATTTCACTATAAAAAATGGGAAAAAAGTGCTTTAATTAGACCTTTTTAAAAAATAAGTCGCTTTTTCGCATTTAAACAGTTGTAGATATTCATTGGTTAATGTCAACCCTTTTTTCATCAGCCATTGTAATGGTAGGTAACTAAATTTGGACAGGGAACCTTAAGCAATATAATGCATAAAATTAATTTTGACATTAAGCACAAATGCAATGGATGGTTGAATCACGCTACAGTAAAACCTCTTCAGAAGAACCCCCTAAAATAGACAAACGCTTGTTTTCTGTTAGTTTAATATATTTTATTTCTCAGAATATATTTACATGTTACAATTTACAATAGTCCGTAGAACAAGAGATAAATTGACTGCCTTTCTTTGTACAAAAGGGTATTAGAGCGACCCCATGTTGCATATTTATCGTATTAAATATCAAGTGCGTCTTATGTCAAGTATTTTTCCCCGGTGTTCCGATTAATATTCTGTATTACAGTTACTGAAATTATATGCGTGTTTAATAATTTTGTTATATTTTTTTGCGCGCTTTTATAATGAGTCAAGCTTTTTGTATTTTTTACGTGTTATCCGAAGCCTTTAACGATTTAAAATGAAAATGATATAAATGAATGCAGATAAAATATTTTATTTAAAAGGATTAAAATGTACAGATAGCTTTTAACCCAAAAAATGTTACAACATAACATGGAAGGTTGCTATTAAAAGCAACTTGTTTTGATTGTGGTCAACCGAAAGCGACATATGTTAAATATACACATATTGTGGACCTGGCAATATATTAAATAATGGTTCGCCTGTGAATTAATTAGATGAGATATATATGGACAAATTATTGTTGTGGTACTAACAAGAGCAAACATGATTGTGATAAAAATGTTATCACTTAAAAAAACAACTTCAAAATCAATATCTATTGTGGGAAAATTACCTAAAAACATATATATGAAATATAAACTTGGCCTTGAACAAATTAAAAAAACGTACTAACATAAAACTAGCTGATGAATTCCACAAAGAGATAAAGAAACATTACAAAATGGAGAGTAATAATGTTGAAAATTCATGGTCTACTGATTAAGATGATATTTCTAAGGAAAATAAAGGTATACAATTAAATTTATTGACTGTTAAAACATTTAGCAGATAAGTGTTGGCAGTCCCTTTGAAGAATAAAAGTGGCGACTCTGTTAAAGAGGCTTTTGATAAAAGGACGATTCCATAGTATTCATTGGTTAAAAGAGATTTTTTTTGTAATAAATTTTTCTAAACATTTTATTTGCTTAAAAAGGCGTTGATATGTGTCATACTTAAAATGACGAAAAGGCTGTTTAAATAGAAATATTTGACAGGACCCTCAAAAGATACTGTGGAAACATTTTACAGCAAATAATATTTACCCCTGCATTAAAGAGTTATTTAAATGTAGCAGTATAAAATGATTTTTATGCAAGCAAGTAAACATGAAAATTAAAGTACAAAATAAAAAAGAAATATCAAATGACTTTAAAATTGGCGACCGTTTCCATTTAAGCAACATAGAAAGACACTTTGGAAATGGTTATACACCAAGTCGGACGGAAGAAATTTTTTTTTTATTTGCCGTAATAACAGAACAAAACATATAACTTACAATTTAATTGATTAAATGATGTGATAGTTCGAGCAAGACCTTTTACCTACTGAACAATTACTATTTAGAATAGAAAACCAACATGTAGTTCTATTAAAGATGAAAGATACATAAAAACTGGAATAAATTTAAAGGCCTGAAAATGTTAATTTTTCTGTGTTTTGTTACTCAATTGTTTAGCTATTATATAAGAGAAATGCAAATTGATTGACCTCAAAATCAACATGTTAGAAAGTTTGAAATTGAAATTGGAATTTGACATGATAATAAGTTATATTTCACTATAGAAGGCTCTTATTAAATACTTTTTAAAAGGTATGAAAAATAAATATTGTCAATCGAATAACTTTTGTAAAAAAATAACCAAGCAGATTAAGTATGTAAACAAGCTTATATTCAATCAAAATAGCAACAGCCTTACAAAATAAAACTAAATCTTTTACTAAACCAAGTTAGAATGATAATTGATTACAGTAATGCATATAAAGTTGTATGTTGTTATATTGATAAGTTTACAAAATCTACTGAAGTTTAAAACTAAGAAACAATATACGTTTAAGAGGTGTTTATCGGCTATTTAACACCGGTTTGGAGTTTTGATGCGTAGGAATTGACCATGAAGCCCGTAGGCCTGGGTGGTTAACCTTTTCGCATCAAAACGACAAAACCGGTGTTAAATAGCCGATAAACACCGCTCAGACTGATATTATATCGATTCTAAAAGGTATAATAAAGAAAATCACTAATGTTATTTTTTCAAGCGGAAATAACTTCCGGTGCCTATTTGTTATAACGATGTTCGATTTCCACCCTACTGCTAAGATATAGAAATTATTAAACAAAATAAATAAAAAGAAAGAAAGTTATTTTATCAAGTTTTCAACAATAAAATATTACGTCTTAGAATGGATTGTATTTTGTTTACATCAGTGCCCAATTTATCATTCTTGTATGTTTGAAATGACGTCAGCGTTTATGAATGAGTTGTATACTTAGGATGACGTCATTACGCTGCTTACGGATTGGCGCCGTTTTGTCAAAATATTTATTAACTGATATGGATCAAATCTGTGGCGTTAGTGTATGTGAGATATTATTTCCATATTGTTTGAAAAGAAAACATTATAAAAACTGAAACTATGTTTTTATTGCTGCTTTAAAATGCTTTGTAAACTATATAATCGAGGGAGGAAACATAATGGCCGCATACACAAGTAGTCCCCAACCAGTGTTTATTGGCAGTTTAACACCGGATTTTTCTTCTTTGTCTATAGTGACAAAATCACGAGGAGTGCTAGAATATTGATTATAAATTTAAGCCAGGTTTTCTTAAATTGAACAGCGCGTGTCGTTTTCAAGTCAGATGTTATTTTCATCAATCGGAACATCCTCGTCAATTATCTATTATAACCTCGGATTGAACGTATTTCTACCACGTGGTTTCAGATGTAAACAGAAACAGAGAAAATGTAAAAAGAATGTATATATTTGACATCCAATAGAAAAGTTATGTCTGTTTTGGTACACTTATGAATAAAAATATGTCTGACAACAATTTGTAATTTAAATATGCCCACTGATGAACAATTTTAACCAAATCCGACTAAATATCAACAGGTTGATTTTTTGTACTTTCGGTTTCTACTACCATAATAATAAATATAGAAATAATGCAATGTTTGCTT